CGTCTTGACAGTGTGATTGAACTGATGGAATTGGAACAGAACTTTAGCACAATTCAAAAGACTAAAGGTACTTACAATGGAAAAGTTTAACAATGTTTAGGATTAAACCAAAAAAAAAAACATCAAATATGAATCACTCTCTATACCATGTGTGTGTACATGTGTCTGCCTTTTCTGCACTGATAAACACCTTATAACCTTATTTTATGTTCAAAGAAACAAAAGAGAAGAAAGATGAAAAACCTTGTGTCTTAAATTCCAAGAAGATGTACAATATCTGTGAGTAGTTTGATGTGACATACTATGTCCTTTAATAAATATCTGATTGCGTGATTTTGTTTCTGTGTAGCAATCCTTCTTGGTCACCTCAAGATGTCAACTGATGAGATCAAGTCAGCTATCTTATCCATGGATCAACGTGTTCTTAGTGAGGCACACATTAGACAGCTTCTCATGTATGCTCCTGATAACACAGAGGTTAGCAGTCCTCCTCACACTGCACCCCTAACTAAATATTCTACCCCTCACCCCACCCCTAACTTAACATTCTACCCCTCACCCCACTCCTAACTAAACATTCTACCCCTCACCCCACTCCTAACTAAACATTCTACCCCTCAACCCACCCCTAACTAAACATTCTATCCCTCAACCCACCCCTAACTAAATATTCTACCCCTCACCTACCCCTAACTAAACATTCTATCCCTCACCCACCCCTACCTAAACATTCTATCCCTCACCCACCCCTAACTAAACATTCTATCCCTCAACCCAACCCCTAACTAAACATTCTACCCCTCACCCCACCCCTAACTAAATATTCTACCCGTCACCCCACCCAACGTCCCTACTTAAGCATTTTTCTTCCTGACACCACCCCTAACTAAATATTTTCCCCGGATCTCCCCCCTAACTAAGCATCCTCTCTTATAACCTTCCCTGCACCCTTCACTCTCCTAAAAGCACGCTTCCCTGCACCCTCCACTCTCCTAAAAACACGCTTCCCTGCACCCTTCACTCTCCTAAAAACACGCTTCCCTGGTTAATGTTGACCATAGTTAAGCTAATTATTTGTGAATAACTGGATTCCTTTCCTACAATCCATGCTGTATAGCTGCAGAAATACAAGTACTTAGCTGAAGACGTCCACAAAATGGAAAAAGCCGATCAGTTTTCGTACGAGGTATGTGCTTGTTGGGAGGTTGTACTCAATGTAATGCTAAATATGCGTTAAGCAGAAAAGATTTGAGCATCTGGGATATCATTACAATATATTGAGTAATGCCCCGAATAAGAACTAGGGAAGCAAACGGCAAAGGAATGAAAGAAGATGCTAATTGTGTATCGTATAATCCATCCATCCCATTGGTTTAAACAAGAAAATCTGCTATAATTTCACAAGTTAGCGCATTTTCTAATATTTTATTTA